TCTAGAAAATTGGTCTCAATGACAGGGTTGCATCTTAAACATTTCTTGATTATTCATTCATATATAGGGTATCTACTTTGATTATGTTGGAATAGAATTTTTAATTGCAACCATGAAATTTTCGACTTTATGCCACTTATTTGGCAATTCCGACCAGTGTGGATTGGTATAAATCGTTCAAAGAGGGGCGAGAAGAAATGAACCATTTACCACCTTCAGGATGAACTTCATCCTCTTCAATTGAAGAATTCTTGATGTTGTTCATTCGGAATTCTTACCGTCTATAATGAATATTATCTTGGCGTCATGAGCGGTTTGAGAGGTAATGTTTGTCGCAAAAGTCCATATATGTATGTGGCGGAACAACAGTTGGCTTTTGCGATCATTGTGAACGAGTTTTTGAACAACAATTGAACCGTACTCTACATATATGGCCCCGTGTGACTTTTCCCTGTTTCCAAAACTCAAATTTGCACTTCGTGGAACCCAATTCGCAACGAGAACTGAAGGCCATCCCGGAATATAGCTTTAACAAGTGTTTCGATTATTGGATTTTTCGTTGGAAGAAGTGTGTTGCCTCAGAAGGAACCTATTTTGAAGGGGATATAATAAATTTAGATGATTGATAAGTTGTTTGGGTTTTATTTCAAATTTCCGTGAACTTATTTGACAAGTCTCTAGATTTGCTCTCTTCTGAGATCGCCGCGTTCATACATACAGACGGACGGACAGACAGACTTACAGGGCTAAATCAACTCAGAGTTTAGCCCTGATCAAGAATATATATGCTTTGTGGGGTCTGCCACGCCTCCTTCTGCCCTTACATACTTTTAACAAAACCATTATACCCTGATTTTTCAATGGGTTCAAGGTATAGAAACGAAGCCACAGGAAAAGTAGGGGAACAGTTAAAAAGTGTATATAAAAAGTGTATAATTTTGACATAACGATGGTGACTGAAAGCACGTAAAGAATCATTTAAGAATGTTCCTTAAAGCGAAACATATAACTAAAATGTAAGTAAGCTCAGGTAAATAAGGCGAGAGTACTGGTAAAATCCTCTAAGACAGAAGTACCGACAAGTCCATACAGCTTTCGGTCAACCTTCTGTGTTCGCAATCCATTAGCGACTGTAGGCAATCCAATTATGCGAGGCTTATCACAGGAAAGGACTTTAGCGGGCACTAGAACAACCCCATACATTGCGAGATGTGTTAAAATTAGCTTCAAGCTTGAAATAATATTAGCTATGGGACATCGAGGTGAGACTGAAATAGTGCATTTTTATACCCATTCACGAAAGTGCCTTAGTATATTGGTTTTGTGCAATGTACGTCTTGTCCGTCCGTCTGTACGTCTGTCCGTTAAATTTAAATCGATTCCCCAACAAATATGGTTACGCCTCTTTGGGAGAGTGGCGTATCGAAAACTAACCTGTAGTTTTCTCATTTTTGGATCGTAAGTATCCAAATTTTGCAGTTAGGTTACCCTTGATTTATTCTACGAAACTGACCAAAACTGAAGTGTCTATGCCCAGTAGGGGCGTGGCAAATCGAGAAAAACTGAAATTTCTAAAGTTTTAGATCAAAACTTTGCTACAAAATTGCTGATGGGGTGTGAATGCGTATTCCGCAGTCGGTACTTCTCTTTAACATGAGGGCAACAATGTTTGGCGACACAGAACAATGGACACCTCGACGATAAGTGTGCCAAATTCACGAATATAGAATTCATCGGCGTTGCTCACGACCAACCCTATCCAAATATTTATATTATTTTATTTTGGATGTCGGTGAGTTTATTTGTCCTGGTCGGTGGATCTAAATTTAGGTAGCAACAACGGCTGATAATCAGAGTGATGGGACGCAAAATTATTGATAATAAAATTAATGCGGACGCTTTGATCTGCTTTCCAGGCTATAAGGCTAACAGGCTAAAATATAAATATTATTGGAATTACAAGAGTAATTTAAGGCTGAGAAGACCTTCTTGGCTCTATTCTTTAGAAACTCACCTTTGTGTAGCTCTCTGTGGATCGAATATCGTTGATGGTCCATGGCAACATCGAAGCCGAATAGCGCGGATCGACGGACGCACTGCCGCGATACGTCAGAGTAACGAGTCGAGTTTTCATCTTAAAGAGTTTGTTTATTTATTAAGCTCAACTTGTGAGTATATTGATTGGGTATACTGTTGATTATTTTTAATATTGATGTTTAAATTAAATGCAGCACAATTTATACTGTAATTTACATTTCCCATAAATATTGTTAGTTCACTATTATTATTGTTATTTCTAAGTTTACTTTACGTAATTTTCGCGTTGAGTTCTGATGTTGTTTGTTTTACAGACTATAAGTGTTTTTTTAACTGTTTTGATTTTCTGCTTGAGAAATAATTAGATAAACAACAGTAAAAGAGCTCTAGTCGACTGCTCAACTACGAAATCTCCTGAACCCTTCGAAGAACTAATATTTCACAGTTCTTCGCGGTCTTAAACTCACACACAGAAAAACATAGGGATGCATGCATAAACACGCATAATTGCTTAATAGTAACTTTTCTTATTTGGTTGACTATGCCCGTAGAATTTTCAGATCGTGATTATAACATTAAAGTACGTGTATGTGCCAAAACACAAGTCTATAGTATTTGAAATATGCCTTTTACAAAGGTGAGGGTGCGGGGTGAATATAGGGGTGGAGGTAAATTACAATAAAAATCGAAATTATATTATGAGTCTACATTTAAAATTTTCCGACCCTACCTCTAAAGGTGTAGGAGATATAATTAAAAACCTAGCTTTCGATAAGGGTTTTAATCGATAACAAAATAATGGGATGAGTTATTGACTTTTAGTGATAAACTCAAATGCGCGTTATAAATACAAACAGTTTTTAAACAAATTTGAAGTCTCTAACTCTTATATCTTCTTAGATCGACGCGTTCAAAAATACGGACAGACAGACAGGACAAAATCCGCTCGTCGTTCGCTCGCCTCCTTCTGCCTGTTATATACATATGTATGTACATTTTAACAAATCCATTATACCCTGATTTCCCATTTTAATGCGTTCGCAATACTCTATCATTTACAAATAAGAGCGTTTACGTTGTACCATACATATAATTTTGCAATTTGTCACACCTCTACAATACGAATCGGGGAAAGAATAGCTCTTTTTAGAACAAGGGTAACAACGAGTATATGTACATATGTATGTTCAAAATCTCTGTCCCTAACTACAGTAACGCCGAAATATCTTGTAGTCATTGAGCACATCAATAATATACTACATTACTTCGTGAGGCATATTAAAAATGGTCCACATGGCAAATTCGACTTAATATATACATACATACATACATATCCATTTGTCTATTTATTTGTATTGATAATGCAGAAACTGCGGCTCATCGCAGAAAGATTTCACTATTGATTTTTCGGCGCGATACCCTGAATAACAACAATTTTCACCGGGTATCATAACCTTGTTAAAATGCAACTTGTGAGTTCGAGCTCGATTCGAATTGTTATCTTTGAATCCGCGTGTACATTTGAGTCGGTCAGTTATATTATTATGGTTCATTTTTTCAGTTCACTTTGTTCTGTAGTTAATTAAAATAACTCGTTAAATTGTACTTGTACTGAGAAAAGGCTATTATGAGCTAGTTACGAAGAATTTATAATTTATAAGGAGAGACGACTATTTTAGTCAATATTTACATAACTTTCTAATTGCATACTATATACATATGTATGCACATATGTACATCTATTTAAAAGCTGATTATGCTCCAATTTTAGAGGGTATGTATGCTATGAAATTTATCGTCGTTATTTATTCGTAGAAGCATTTGCTTCTAATTCAAAAAACCGGAGCATTGGTGCTTCTTAGCCTCTTTTTAATTATTAATTTTGTTTTTGTTTTTTTTTTTCTTGCACGCGATTGCCAGAAATATGAATGTATAAGCCAGAGCTCGGAAGCCACCACCATACATATGTAAGTGTCAGAGGGCAGACGCACGGAAGAAGCCAGCATTACGAACAGTCACCCCTAAAAAAACGCTCAATGGCAATGTTGGAATTTACTTTTGTATAAACATTTATATTTTTATTTGCTATGGTTTCTCAGTGTGCTTTTTAAGTTTACTTCTACATAGACGCAGAAATTCTTACGATGCACAGAATCATACACATACGTAAACACGTACACCACGACGACGCGTTTGTTGACTGCAAAGAATTGGCCTCAATAGCCGATTGAAGACGGATTCGCCATATAGCTGTGAAGTAACACTGAATAGCAAGAAGCACAAATTACGGCTCAAACATTCCTGCTAGTCGGTATTCGACAATTTTTCTATGACGATACACAAGTCGTCCTACATCCTGTCCGTTGGGCGCATGCGTTGAGATTTGTGTACGGCATTGATGATTATATGATAACGCGGACGCATTCCATTTCAATTTGTAGTTTGATTGATTGTTGTTTTAATCAAATAGAAATTCTGATCACCTAAGTGAGATACGCGTCAACATTTTTAATTAAAATAACAAATTCGCCCGCCAAACAAGCAAAACCAAGCGGGATATATGTACATATATTATTCCAAAATAGCGAACGATACGACTTCATCGACTGACCGCCACAATCTATCGGTTGTACAGCTGGTTTCAGAGCTCAGTCCCATGTATTCGTAGAAACAGTGCTGAAAAACGGCATACTAAATAGCTATCGATATTTGGTGGCGTTAATTATTTAAATTAAATGAATTTAACATAAATTTTTATTAAGAACTTCAAGCATCAATAGCATATCATTTTGGCAAGTGAAAACATCAATGCCTGGAGCAACAATAAGCCCATTCCACTGTTTGATCGCTTATCAGCACTGCCACCAATGCGGCTTCTTCTTCCATTCCTACTCAGCCAGTTTTGGTTTGTAAGCCAAGTTTAAGATTTAGTCTTTGCTGAAACGCGGTAAGCAGCAGGTGTGTTACTGTTTGATGTTGGCTTACAATCTGCGTGATTCGTGGGTACGCTGAGTATTATTTGACTAGGTGTGCGTGTAAAAGTAGAGACTTTCACTATGGTTCAGCTCCCTAAAGCAGTCAACAGGCAGCTGTAACTAAGTCCAACATTAATGAATGCGTTTCGTACGCGTTGTTGTTATTTCAAAGCTATAAGTTCTGAAGCCGCTTGCGAGTTGTTTCTTTTTTACTTATCTGACGGCTCTCCGGCTGCTCCAAGCGGTTCGCATTCGCATTCGTATATGCTTTTTAAAATTTCAATTTATATTTCGTTTATTTCTCACCGACAATCTCAATGATCGGTCTCTTGCATTTTTAACTGAGAGTGTGTGTGTGCCAGAAAAGAGATATAAAAAGATATGAGATATGATACAATAAGAAAGAAAAAATGGAGACTTGTCAGCGACGGTTTTGTAAAGTGCCGTTAGTGTGTGAATGGAGCATTTAAAATTAATTTAAATAATGAGGAATTTGCTCATAATTGATTTAAGTAGCGCAACAGAAAACAGCACCAGCAACATCAGCAGTAGCATTTGCATAATTTTCCGCACATACACAGCTTTAGTTGTCATTCACAGTGGAAGCAACAAGTGGCATTTGTTGCTACACAGACACCGTTGCATGGTTCATTGTGCACTTAAATATCCAAGTTAGAATCCACATTCCACAAAGAGAACAAGCACAACATAATGCATCAAGTAGGAAGTGGCAATGGCAATCTACCGCATCACCAACAACAACAACACAATCTATTAGTTTGTGAGCAAATTTCAAAATAATTGAGCATTCTAGACAATTTAGTTAAGACATGAAGAAATGGAAAACTGCAATGATGTGCATTATTTGTAAATTGTGAAAAACACACTCACTCACTCAAGAGAGGGACAGAATACGAGACAGTGGTGTAACAGGTAGAGGCCGCGCGCGCAGCTAGCACAGACACAGCACATGCGTGCAGCCTTTCTTGCATTGAATCTCAAACAGACACAGCACAAAACTTTTACTGTGTTGTCTGGTTAGCGCTTTTACGTTAGGCTTTGTTGACATGACTTTTTTCTTGATGTTGCTCCCCACATCCATATGTTAATATATATGTACATACATATGTACATATATACATATGTGTGTGTGCTTATTGAACTAGTTAAATCTATAACCGCTCTGGCCTTAATTATCATAACAATAGACAAAAAGAAGACGAGTACACACACATATACACACGCATACATAGAAACAAATAACCCGCAGCGCCAAACTCTAAAATTTGCAGCGGAAAAAGAAGATGAGTACTGAGAATGAGGCTCAAAAGCGAAATGGTCACAACATAATTAGAACGAGCGAAAGGCAACAAAAGAACGTGCGCGAGTTCAAATGTTGCACAGTGGATTTCACAGCACAAATAACTAAGATAAAAATGAAGATAAAGATCAAATAAAGTTGAATAATTATTATTGGTTAGTGGCTATGCCTAAAATGAAAAATTGAAGGGCAGGAAAACGTAGACATCTACAAGTTATTTAACTATTGGGAACAAATTCTGCAGCTCAAAACAAATTTAAAAAAAAACTTATGAATATTTATAGTTTAGAAATGTGTTTGCTTTTTGAGGCATTGTGTAATGGCGTGAAATGGACTAGTTAAGTAATTGATAGCTTTGTATTAGCATACAAATTTTGCAATATGTATTTTTAAAATTATAGATGTAAGCTGCGTATGTATCCGTCGTATTTGTCGCCAAAGCAACATGTGGAAATACTGTCTACCCTTTGATTTATAAGCACACTTTAGTATCATTTTCATACATAAAAAAAAAAGAAAATACAACACGAAACCCATGCGCATGCTTGATCTCGTCCGTCTGATCTCCCCCCAATTCCAATAACTGCAACAATTATGCGACGGGGCGCGCTGCGATGCGTGAGCTACGAGCTGTGAGTTGTGGGGTGTCGTGATAGCACTTGCTGCAAAGGTAACCGGCTAACGCAGTCGCCTATTAAAATCCGAACAGGAAGAAGTAAAAAGACCAAAAATAGATAAATTAAAAAAGAAAAAAAAATTATAGATAAACTCACAAACCGGTTACAGTGAAAATGAAAGAAAAACTTTTGCTTACTTATTGACTATGCGTTTATTTTCGTGACGTTTCTGTTTTGTTTTCCACAGTTTCTGTTTCCAATGGGCATTTGATTTTGTTTTAAGTCAATGCGTAGAAAGTGAATTACAGCAGCATCGATAATACGTAAAAAGACAACCAAGCGGACAGTGAAAATCGGATTCGCCAAAAAAGCCCTGTTCGCTGCGTTTGCATCTGCACGCGCTGCTATTAGCCAAAGCAGAAGCAGTCAATAATTGGGCTCGTGTGCCTGCTGGACACGAAACCCTTCGTGTAGCCGCCGATGCGTCTTTTAATTCAAACGGCAACGGCAACGAGAGGCGTTGCAGGAGCTGGTCTGCAGTCCCATTCGCAGTCTCAATATAATTACAGCAGCATGCGTGAGGACGACATCGAACTGGCCATTAAGGTGGTAAGTTAACCAACATTGACAAAAACAAAGAAACACGCCTACCTACAAGAAAGCAATCAACCGTTTCCCCAAACACTGAATCAGTCCTTGTCCAATCAGCTGACAAGTTGCGATGCACATAAAGAACAGATGCAGCCTCTACTAGTTTAATATAACACCTACTAGTACATATACGAGTACAATAGAGTATTTTGCAATAAAACGATTTCCTTAAATAAACAAAAACAACGTATTGCACACATTATTTTGATTATTTGCAACTAATACATACAAAACAAGAAAGAAAGCTCTAGTCGAGACTGCTCGACTACGAGATCCCCTGAA